TATACACACACATATCACTATAGAGATATTGATACTCTGGTACTCGGGCAGTGAGTCTGGGTTGTGAACTTTTCCCAGTTATCAAATCTTACAAGTTATATTTTCCATTACAGTTCAACATGTGGAAGTATGTTTCACTTAATTATGCTGGGTAATTATTTATTGTCTATTACATCTGTGTGCAAGTTTTTGTGCGGACATATGTTTTCATTTCTCTCCAGCATGTATCAGGAGTGGAACGGCCAGGTCACGTGACATTTTGAGGCACTGATTGTTTTCCAAAGTGTCTGCATCTTTCACATTCTCACCAGCAACATATGAGGGTTTCAATTTCTCCACATCCTTGCCAACATTTGTTATCTGTCTTTTTCATTATAGCTATTCCAGTAGGTGTGAAGTGGTGTCTAATTTTGTTTTTGATTTGCATTTCCCTGATGGCTAGTAGTGTTGAGCATCTTTTTATGTACTTATTGACCATGTATGTATCTTCTTTTAGAAATTTTTTTTCAGAAACTTTGCCCAATTTTAAATTAGGTTGCCCTTTTTTAAAATTGAGTTTTAAGAGTTCTTTATGTGTTCTGGAAACAAGTCTTTTATCTCATATATGATTATGCAAAATGAGCTGGGAAGTGTTTCTTTGTTCCCTCTTCTCTTTTTTTGGAAGTGTTTGTGAAGAATTGGTACTGGTTCTTCAAATGGTAGAATTCATCAGTGAAGCCATTTAGTCCTAGGTTTTTTACTGTTTGAAGTTTTTTTTATTACTAATCCAATTTCTTTACTTATTGTGGGTCTATTCAGATTTTCTATTTCTTTTGAGTCAGTTTTGGTAGTCTGCATTTCTCCTAGAATGTGTCCATTTCATGTATGTTATCTGATTTGTTGGCTTACAGCTGTTGATAGTATCCCTTTAAATTCTTTTTATTTATGTATTGGTAGTAATATTTCCTTTTTATGTTTTTAATAATTTGAAACTTCTTTTTTCTTACTTAATCTAGGTAAAGTTTTGCCAATATTTTTTATCTTTTCCGAGAACCAACATTTGGTTTTATTGATTTTCTCTTTTGTTCTTATACTCTGTTTTATTAATTCCACCACGAGTCCTTATGTCCTTTCTTCTGCTTGCTTTGTGCTCATTTTTCTCTTCCTTTTCTAGTGACTTAAGGTAAAAGGTGAGGTTGTGGATTTAAGATCTTTCTTCTTGTTTTAATGTAGGCCTTTGCAGCTATGAATTTCCCCAAAGCACCCTCCCCTACAAGTGAGCTGGGCTAAAGGTGGTCAGAGCTCCAATATTCTTGGCATGCTATGACTAGGAGCTAGCGTCTGCCCTATAGTACAGACTAGGTGGAGATAGGGAGCCCTGACCTCTCAGCTGTTCTTACCACAAATGTAGCTTCTTCATCTTATAGTTGGTGGGGATGAGAAACGCTGGCAGACTGCCTCACCTAGTGAGATACTCTAACCCTTAATTGAGGAGTTAAGGAGGAAGGGACTTGGCCACATCTGCTGGGAGTGGAGTTTCTGTCAAACTCAGCTGGCAGAGGGCTGGGGTGGGGTGGGGGGGAGTGGTTATAGCCCAAGTGCACATTCTTATTTTTCCTACAAGTTTTAGTAAATTTTCTTGACTAAATTATGATTCACTTGCTGTATGTCCTTAGGAAATTCCCAGAAATTTAAAAATTAAAAAAATAATTTTCATGAACTTTTCTTGTTTCACTGAAACTTGGGACCATGGAGGTCCTCATGTTTTCATCCCACAAGTGGAACTCCAGAAACCGCTTTGTAGAATTTTAATTTTGCTTTAATATTATATAAAATATGTATATGGTTCCAAAGTCAAATCTACCAAATAAGATATCTTCAAAAGAGAACTAATAATCCCTCTACCCTATTTTATCCTTCATTCTTTGGGGACCACTAAAATGTTCTTTCTTTTTTTAAATGTATGAATGAATATGTTCTTTAGAAAGGTTTGTATTTTTGTTCTCATGGCTGCCTTTAATCTATACATAAAACACTTAGTTCTTCCTTTTTTTGGTTATTGTCCATTTTTTCCCCACTATGAGCAATATTGAAATTAGCTGGTGCCCTCTTATTTTTCCTCCTATTCATGTCCATGTCATCTGGTCGGATGTAATGTCCTTTTACTACTTAATGCCCATAAACAAAATTATTATACTTCCATATACTCTGGCCATTCTTCCACCAAGCTTTGATAATTGTTTTATATCACAATCAGACCATATTATAAATACTATTCTGCCTCACAGCCATCATCGAGTACTAATTACATCAACATATCTCCCTCCATTTTGGTTGTGTGAGGCTCAGTGTTTAATAAATTCTTAGGGACGATTTCTCTAAACCATATTCCTGGAATACAAAGCCATTAGTATATGGTTCTTGAACTTGAAGATTGGGGCGCCTGGGTGGCTCAGTTGGTTAAGCGTCTGACTCTTGATTTCGGCTCAGGTCATGATCTCAGAGTCATGAGGTCCATCCCTGTCTTGGGCTCCATGCTCAGCCGGGAGTCTGCTTCTCTCCTTCTTCTCCCCTGGCTCCTGCTCTCTCTCTCTCTCTCAAATCAATCAATCAATCAATCAATCAATCTTTAAAAAAAAAAACCCTTGAAGATCAATTTAGTGGAATACATAATCCTTGGTTTGCACGTTCTTTTTTTGCGTACCTTAAAATATCATTCCATTGTCTTCTGGCCTGTAGTTTTGCTCCTGAAAAGTGTGATGACAATTGATTTTCTTTACTTTCTTAGTGACTTGCTATTTTTCCTGGATGCCCAAAGGTTTTCTTTTTTCCTTTTGAAGACTGTGTTCCTGGAATATGTGTCAGTACTGACAGCTGTGGGCCGATTTTCTCAAGTACCCAAGGTAGGTTCAAGTTTTTTTAATTCAGGAAAATATATTTAAATTACAGAGATTTATTTGTTCTTGTCCATTACTCATTTCTTCGGTGACTCCATATATCTATATTGAGTCTTCCTTTTGCCCTCAAAGATTACATTTTTTGTTTTAAAAATATTTGTTCTTGGGGCGCCGGGGTGACTCAGTCAGCTAAGTGTCTGCCTTTGGCTCAGGTCATGATCCCGGGGTCCTGGGATCGAGTCCCACATCGGGCTCCCTGCTCAGTGGGGAGTCTGCTTCTCCCTCTCCCTCTGCCACTCCCCCTGCTGTGCTCCTCGCTCACTCACTCACTCTCTCAAATAAATAAATAAAATCTTTAGGGTCACCTGGGTGGCTCAGTCGGTTAAGGGTGTGCCTTAACCGACTCCTTGCTCAGTGGGGAGCCTGCTTCTCCCTCTGCCTGCCACTCTCTCTCTCTCCCTCTCCCTCTCTGACAAATAAATAAATAGGATCTTTAAAAATAAATAAATAAATAAAATCTTAAAAAAACAAAAATATTTGTTCTTTCAATTTTATAACTCTCTTTAGGGCATTTATTCAAGTGTGCATGTTCTTTCTTTTGAAAAAATTTTTATTTTTTTTAAGATTTTATTTATTCATTTGACAGAGATAGACACAGCGAGAGAGGGAACACAAGCAGGGGGAGTGGGAGAGGGAGAAGCAGGCCTCCCACAGAGCGAGGAGCCCGATGTGGGACTCGACCCCAGGACCCTGGAATCATGACCTGAGCCGAAGGCAGACGCTTAACGACTGAGCCACCCAGGCGCCCCTGAAAATTTTTATAAATAAATAAATAAAATTTTTTTTTTTTTAGTTCCATCACCTTTTTCAAATATTCCTTTTCTCCAGTCACTTTATTTCCAAGTTTTTCTAATTCTGATTTATGTTCTTCCTTATTACCTTCTACAATTATGTTAATTATTTTAGTTCTTTTTATTTTTAAAATTTTTTTTTTAGAGAGAGAGAGAAAGACAGGGCAGAGAGACAGGTTTTATACTATATTTTTAAGGGGCAGGGGTGAGTCAGAATATGTTTTCTAGCTTCATAACTCTAAAGCTCCTCTGTCTGTTGTTTTTAGAAAATGATTAAAACATGGCCTATTTTCCGAGCTCTGGTTCCTTTGCTCTCCCCCCATGTTTACCTGGATTTCTTTTTTCTTTGCCCTGATGTCCTGCAACCTAGATTGTCACCAATTTTTCCTTAGTGAGAGGTTTGCTCTAGAAGTGAGCTCAGGATGAGAATTCCAAGGACCAAGACCATGTCAGCACCTGCTGACCTTTCCACAGATTACCTTGCTCTCACGTGTGAATGAGAATTCATAGAATCCTTTGACAGTCTTTGCTTAGAGAGTAACTGTTGGTGATTTTGGATTCCCCTTTTCTTAGGGCACTCAGATGCCCCATTTTGCTCTTTCCATTTCCTCCCACGTAAGTACAGACACCAAGTAGGTCTTATCACTGTTGCTGGCTCATCCTCACTTCTCATATTTTGGGGTTCTTATCAGCTAGTTTTATTGTAGATCCTTATGTTATTTTGATATATTCTTTTTTAAAGATTTTATTTATTAAAATTTTTTTTTAGAGATTTCATTTATTTATTTGAGAGAGAGCGCACACGAGTGGAGGGGGGACAGAGGGAGAAGGGGAGGCGGGCTCCCTGCTCAGGAAGCCCTACGTGAGGCTTGATCCCAGGACCTGAGCTGAAGGCAGATGCTTAGCCTACTAAGTCACCCAGGCGCCCCTAGATTTTATTTATTTATTTGAGAGACAAAGTGAGTGTGAGCAGGGGGGAAGGGCAGAAGGAGAAGGAGAGAATCCTCAAGCAGACTGAGCTGAGCACGGAAACCCGACTCGGGGCTCGATCTCATGACCTTGAGATTCATGACCAGAGCGGAAATCAAGAGTTGGACGCTTAACTGACTGAGCCACCCAGGCGCCCCTATTGTGATATATTCTTAAAATATATCCTTATATTCTTAGGTTCTTATTCTTTTGGGAGTGTGTTTTTACCCCAGAGATCACCATATGAATAAATATGTGGCTCCCTTGGGCTTCTCAGACCACACCTAGTAATCATTCTGTACTTTTAAACCTTGATGTGAATCACAGAATGCTGCTTCTGAAGCAGAGGGGAGATAACAGACAGACTCTCTAGGGTTTTGCTCACAGTCGGAAGTCCTCTGAATTTGCCTAAACCTGATGAGCCGGTTTATCTAAATTTTATTGTATTTGAACTTTATATCTCTGAGCCAGTTCTAAAGAGCTTCAGAAGGGAGAAATGGGAGTTTAAGATCATTCCATCTCTGCGTTAAAAAAATACTCTCCAACCTAGAAAATTAATGTCCTTACCCTGTGAAACTCTTAGCCTTTTGAAATCACTGTGTTTTTAAATAACCATGCCTTGATCCTCTATTAGAAGTAAAATCGGCAAAATTCTTAACTGTAAAGGTATTTGATGATCTACTTTCAAGATAAGTCTAAAGTTATAAGCTAATCTCATATATATGAGGAAAGAAATCACAGTTGATTCATGGTCAATGTTTCATTATCAGAGGAGAGGCTTGGAAATTACACTGTTTCCAAAGTCAGTTTTTTATATGTATGGGTTTAAAAACAGTGAACATTTTACTGAACTGTTGATGTATAAATGTGGGGCATATCCTACTTTAGGAAGTTGTTCTGTAGTAAAATACAAGACCGGGAGCTATTAAAAAAAAAAAAAAACAATGTCCTAGTATTGTTGAAAGTTTCACTTGCTCAGGGACAGAAAAATTGACAGGATTTAAAAAATCTCAGTCATGGCTTTGACATTTCTAATTTCTTTGGTCCAGTTGTTAATTACTATAAATGTCGTTTAGAGTTTTCTGTGCATTTCCTCATCAACAAGTAAAAGCTTTTGATTACTGTTCCATGTGGGATCACATGGATAGGGAGAGATAAGAAATAGGAAAAATTGAAATAAAACAGAAAATGGAAATTATAAAGATATTTGCTTCTATGTATTTTAAATTGTTGAATTTACACACCATAAGAAACTTGATTTCCTTGAAGATTTAAAAGCTGGCAACTCAATAGTATACAAAGAGATTATTTCATGCCATTCAATGTTTTACATAATTTTTTCCCCTTAGAAATATAGAACAGGGGCGCCTGGTTAGCTCAATTTGGTGAAGTGTGAGACTCTTGATCTTGGGGTTGTGAGTTTGAGCCCTACATTGGGTACAGAGATTACTTAAATAAATAAAACTTCAAAAAATAATAAAAAAAGGAAATATGGAACAGTTTCTAGGCTGGTCCCCAAAGTCCTTAGTGCCATGTCTCCCATGGTCCTGCTCTCTGTTGGAGCAGAGACTAAAGGGAAGCCAGGGAAGTAGGACTCGTGATCTCTGTACCATTGCGAGCTTCCAGCAACAGCAGAAAGAACATGGCGGTGAGAGGAGAGAAGCAAGGGTGCAAATGAATAGTTCACCACTGGGGAAGTCCTGAGCCCCTCTCTAAAGACCGCCTTTGGCTTTGTGCTTTTGGTAGTAGAATTTCCATTACATTCTCCACTTACCATCCATACACAAGTAGGCACTCAATGAATAAACAAAACAAAATCCTGCCCAATCAGGATAAAATTCAGATGTCGCTTCCTCTATGAAGCCTGCCTTAATCCTTTGTCGGAAATCATATCTGATGCTTCCTGTCTCTGGCGACCCATGGAGCCCTATGTATGACACATGTTTCTTAGCGTTGACTAACTCCAAAGCTCACCCTAAAGTCTTTAACAAAGTTTAAGGCTATGGGAAATTTTATTTCTCATAGGTGGCTGCTTCTATGTATTTATCCTATCCCAGATTCTTCTTACAGTAGGACTGACACTCCTCCCACCCCAAGATGGGGCTGCTGGACATTACAGTCCCTCTTCTGGAATCAGGGCAGGGTTTGTGACTGTCCCAACTGCCCCACTGGAGTGTGGCTGAAAGGGTCCCATGTGACTTCTGAGGCTGGGTCACAGAAAGAAGAGAGCTCCTCTCCTTCTACTTCCTCCCTGACGCTTACCTCAGAATCCAGAGCTGTGAGGTGAGGAAGCCTAGGACTCGGCTAGATCTGTGACCCAAGACTAGCATCAACCACCAGATGTATGTGAATAAATCTTCATGCGATGTCAGCCCCCAGACTTTGAGTCTTCCATCTGAGGCCACCGGCATTGTGGAGGAGGGCTGGACACCATCCACCATGCCCTGCCTGATTTCCTGATGCACAGACACTGTGAGAGATAATAAAGGACTATTGTCTTCAAGTCACTAAGTTTTAAGTGAATTCATTTGCACCAATAAATGGTTAATCAAACAAATATGCATGAGGGTTCATGTGTAAATGTTTTTTCATCTTCATCCCTTTTCCTACTCCTGACTCCTAACCTCTGTAGCAACCAGGATGATGGTTTGCACACACAACAGAAATCATATTTCTTTAAATGATTATGAGGATTAAATAAAATCACACACAAAAGGATCTAGCAGATGATCAGTAATATGAAGTGATCAAGAAATGTTAACTGAATGTGAAATTGCTAAATGAATTATTTATTTTCTAGCTTTACTGAGATATAACTGACATATAACACTGTGTACGTTTAAGATGTATGTGTTGATTTGATAGAATTATATATTGCAAATGGTTGTTACTACCATAGCATCAGCTAACATCTCCAACATGTCATATAATTACCTTTTCTTGTTTTTGCAGGTGAGACTCTTCAAGATTTACTTTTTTAACAACTTTCAATATATAATACAGAATTATTAGCTATAAGCACCATGCTATACATTAGATCACCAGGACTTATTCATCTTATAACTGGAAGTTTGTACCCTTTGACCAACATTTCCCCATTTCCCCTACCCCTCAACCACGGGTAACCACCAGTCTACTTTGTTTCTATGAGTTCAGTATTTTTAGACTCCGCATATAAGTAATATTGTACAGTCTTTGTCTTTCCCTGATTTATCTTACTTTGCCTAATGCCTTCAAGGTCCATTCATGTTGTCACAAATGTTAGGATTTCCTTCCTTCTCACGGCTAATAATAGTCCATTATATATTACATTACAATATAATATAATAATGTGATATATCACAATCACATCTTCTTTATCCACTCATCTGTTGATGGACACTTAGGTTATTCCATATCTTGGCTATTGTGAATAATGTTGAATTGAACATGGAAGTGAAGATATTTTTTCAAGATCTTGTTTTCATTTCCTTTGGATATGTATGCAGAAATGGGATTGAAGAATCATATGGTAGTTCTTTTAAATTTTTTGAGGAACTTCTATTCTGTTTCACAGTGTCTGTAACAATTTACAGTCCCACCAACAGTGCACAAGGGTTTCCTTTTGCTACATCCTTGCCAACACTTGTCTTTTTGATGACAGTCATTCTAACAGATGCGAGGTGATATTTCACCATGGTTTTGATTTGCATTTCCCTGACAATGAGTGATGTTAAGCACCTTTTCATGTACCTGTTTGCCATCTGAGTAACTTCTTTGGAGAAATATCAATTCAGTTTGCCCATTTTAAAAACCAGATTTTTTTTTGCTATTGAGTTATATGAATTCCTTATGTGTTTTGAATATTGATCTCTCATCAGATACATGACTTACAAATCGCTCCGTAGGTTACTTTTTCATTTTGTTGATTGTTTTCTTTGCTATGCAGAAGCTTTTTAGTTTGATGTACACCCACATGGTTATTTTTGCTTTTGGCCCTTTGCTTTTGGTGTCAAATCCAAAAAAATCATTGCCAAGACCAATGTCAAGGAACTTTCCCCCATGCTTTCTTTTAGGAGTCTTACAGTTTCAGGTTTTAAGTCTTTAAATCATTTTGAGTTAATTTTTGTGAGTGGTGTAAGAGAGGGGTCCAGTTTCATTCTTCTGCATATGATTATCCAATTTCCCCAACACCCTTTGTTGAGGAGACCATCCTTTCTTCACTGAGTATTCTTGGCTCTCTAGTCAAATATTAGTTGACTGTCTGTGTGTGGATTTATGTCTCTCGATTCAGTTCTATTGGTCTATGTGTCTATTTTAATGTCATTACCATGTGGTTTTGATTTCTGTAGCTTTGTAGTATAGTTTGAAATCAAGAAATGTGATGCCTCTGGCTTTGTTTTTCTTGCTTAGGACTGCTTTGGCTATTTGGAGTCTTTTGTGGTTATATGAAAATTTTAGGATTGTTTGTTCTATTTCTGTGAAAAATGCCATAGGAATTTTGATGGGGATCATGTTGAATCTATAGATGGCTTTGGGTAGTATGACCAGTTTAACAATATTAATTTTCCCAATCCAGCAACATGGGATAGCTTTCCATTTGTTTATGACTTCTTTAATTTATTTCATCAAAGTCTTATAGTTTTCAGTGTACAGATCTTTCTCCTCCTTTGTTAAATTTATTCCTAAGCATGCTATTGTTTTTGATGCTATGGTGAATGGGACTGTTCCCTATTTCTATTTCAGATATTTTGTTCTTACTGATTAGAAACACACTGATTTCTATATGTTGGTTTTGTATCCTACAGATTTACTGAATTCCCTGATTAGTTCTAACAGTTTTTGGTGGAGTCTTTAGGAGTATAGATACGTAAGATCACACCATCTGCCATAAAAAACAATTTCACTTCTTCCTTTCCAATCTGGATGTCTTTCATCTCTTTTTTTTTTAGCCTAATTGCTCTGGTTAGTTCTTCCATCACTACATTGAATAGGAGTGGAGAGAGTAGGCACTTTTGTCTTGCTCATGATCTTGGAGGAAAAGCTTTTAAACTTTCACTATTAAGAATGATGCTAGATGATGTGATACTTTGTGTGGAAAACCCAAAAGACTCCACCCCAAAACTGCTAGAACTCATACAGGAATTCAGTAAAGTGGCAGGTTATAAAATCAATGCACAGAAATCAGTGGCATTCCTATACACCAACAATAAGACAGAAGAAAGAGAAATTAAGGAGTCAATCCCACTTACAATTGTACCCAAAACCATAAGATACCTAGGAATAAATCTAACCAAAGAGGCAAAGAATCTGTACTCAGAAAACTATAGAATACTCATGAAAGAAAGTGAGGAAGACACAAAGAAATGGAAAAACATTCCATGCTCATGGATTGGAAGAACAAATATTGTGAAAATGTCTATGTTACCTAGAGCAATCTACACACTTAATGCAATCCCTATCAAAATACCATCCACTTTTTAAAAAAAAAAATGGAACAAATAATCCTAAAATTGTATGGAACCAGAAAAGACCCCGAAGAGCCAGAAGAATGTTGAAAAAGAAGACCAAAGCTGGTGGCATCACAATTCCAGACTTCAAGCTCTATTAACAAAGCTGTAATCATCAAGACAGTATGGTCCTGGCACAAAAACAGACATATAGATCAATGGAACAGAATAGAGAGCCCAGAAATGGACCCTCAACTCTATGGTCAACTAATCTTCGACAGAAATTGTCCAAAGAATGTCCAATGGAGAAAAGACAGTCTCTTCAACAAATGGTGTTGGGAAAATTGGACAGCCACATGCAAAAGAATGAAACTGGACCATTTCCTTACACCACACACAAAAATAGACTCAAAATGGATGAAAGACCTCAATGTGAGACAA